TCTAGTGCAGTGGTTTGAACTTGTGCTTTAGATGCTGTAGAAACACCAACGGACTGCAATGTTTAGCCTCTCTGAGCCGTTAGTTTAGCTACAACACAGCCACTAGGTCTCCGGGAGAGTCTGACAGCAGCTGCTCACAGCTGGTTAGCTCTGACGGTCAGTCAGCGTTGAGGCCACACTGTCACTGTTCTTTGCATTTTTCTGATACATTTACAGGGAGGAAGCTGGCAGAATTGAAGGGTGTAGTTGCACTTTACACAGATGTCAAAATGTTGCTTTACTCTTTGAAATGCACAGGAATGAATAGCTGCTTTATGTGCATACATGCTTTTATTTTGGGCAGTCCCATTCATTTTTTGATGAATCATTAACTTGAATCATTAGTATACGGTGGCTGACAAGGGCAAAAGCACCGCAAACGCTGCACACACAAAAACACACAAACACATAAAACAAATCCAACAGAAAAACGCAGCAACAGAAAAATGCTGCAATCACAGAAACGAAGCAGAAGCACAAACTTACAAACCCACAAAACAAATGCCAAAGAAAAATGCTGCAAATTTCAAAAACACACAAAACCCCAAAACAACAACTTTTTTAAACACTTGGCCATAAAATTTTATAATATTATAATCTTTTACAATATTATAACATTATAATAATTATAATTGCCCTTGTAGGCCACCGTATTAGTACCATTAGACACAATTTAATTTAAACATGATTCACTGAGGAACACCTAAGATACATGACAGTTTTATTATGTAATGCTAAATATGAAGCTAGGACCAGTAGGTGATTAGCTTAGCATAAAAACTGAAAACAGGGGGAATCAGGTAGCTGTCCAAAGGTCTTTGCTATTTGCCTGGAAACCTTGCAGTGATGACTCTGCAAGAAATACTTCCTGCAAGTAACAAAACCACGACTTGTCTTTTTTTGTGTGTGTGAATTAAAACAAACAACAAATAAAGTGTTAAGTTGGAAGCTTTAGAAGTGTTGGTAGGTGGACATGTTTACCTTTGGACAGTGACAGTAGCTTGCTTTCAGTCTTTATGATAAGCTAAGCTAATTGCCTGCTGGCTTTTAGCAGACAGATATGACTAACTCTAAGGAACCTGAATAAACATATTTCTCAAAGCATTATCAAACTTATTATCAACCCCAGGTACTGTTAATTAACTCAGTATTTCCATGAACCCTGTTTAAAAGAAAGCCTTCCTTGCAGCTGCCCCCCCTCTAGCAGGCTGCTCTGTGTGGTCCGGGAGGGTAAATGGTGACCTGGAGACCTTTGCAGTGCATAAAAGAAAATATGCAGTGCTAGATATGAATCAACAGGTAAATATGAGATAGGAGGCCAATTGACTTTTATACTAGCAATGTAGACACTGTACTAAATGTAGGTCAAATCAGTGAACCTTTAAGGGCCTTGGTAGGAAGTGTATTCTGTAAGACTCAGTCACTTTGTGTACTTGTAGAAAAGAAGAAAGAAAAGACGAACCAACACTGTGAGGGAACCTAATGTTATGATCAGTCACTTGTGTTGGATCTGCATGTCTTTATTGAACCTCTCCGCTGTTGGTTGTCCGTTGTGTAACACAGTGCCTGATGTTGAGGGCAACGCCTGTGTTCAATTGAATTAGATATGGGAGAGGAATTTGTTCAAGTGCTGCTGCTCTCAGTGCATTTCTGACTTTGCTGTTGGGTTTACACCGCCTACAGCTGCATGTTAAGACACAATGCTTAGCTGAAAGAAGGTGTCCGAAAGCTTAAATCAAACATGAATGTTGCTCACTGTATCTTAGTTTCAGCATCTCAAACAAGACCTTATTTGAAGTCAATGGGTTTTTTTGAATGGGTTTTTGGTTAGATGCCTGAAATGAGGTCTGTGGTTCAAATCATATTTTGCTCTCAGTCAACAAATACCCCACCTGTGAATGTTGAAGCTTTTACTTGTCTTAAAATAGCCGGTTGCTTACTCGTTGACATTAAAACAGACTTATGTACTTAATAGTCCACCTTCACAGCCTTGTTGTCTTTATACTTGCAATCTTGCACACTATTCTAACTCAAACTTTACAAAGATTTAAGTTAAGAAGCTGGAAGTTTAGTGGTGGTTACATTGACATTTATAGCCTAACTTAACCTTTTTACTTCTGGCGATTGCCCATAATCATCCATTAGCAGTGAACAAGGTGTAAATTAAACTGATGCCTGAAGAAGAATTACATCTTAACTCCACGGTTATATCATATCAATATCACGAGCAATTACAGGCACAGTACTATAAGCACATCCCTTAAAGGCCTTCAAATGAAAATATAATATATGGTCTATTAACCATCAGTCGCACAATTACGGCACCGTAGTTAACAAGTGAGCCAACTGCTGACACCAGATCTGTCTGTTTCAGCTCAGCGGGTAATTGATTGATCATATTAAACGGTCACTTTGTAGTAATAAATTAGAGCAACACATTGCAGAGCCAGGGGGAAAAAAGAAATCCTTCTAAAAAAGTTGGGAAATTTAAAGACAAACCTAATCAGTCATAAAGCCGGCCGTGCTTATGATCTCCACAACCAAATCCCTGGGGGGACCCTGGAAAGATTTGGTGACAAGAAAGTTATTGGTGACCAAAAACAGAACCTCTAAAAAGTCTGTATTTGTAAAGCAATAGACCTTTTATCACAGCCACCATTGACATGAAATAGTAGGGTAAATACAGCCATTACAAATGACACTAATAAAAACGGTCCAGTGTGCAGAATTTAGTGGAATCTAGTGGTGAACTTGCAGATTGCAACTAAATGAACACATTTCATAGAAACCTATGCTATGGGGAAGTTGGGTAACTGTCAGCCATAAACACCTGCTGTTCACTGTAACGGAGCTCTTTGCATGCAGGCAAATGTGCTGACACAGAGCCGTATCTGCTAGTCGCCTGTTCGTTTAGGACTGACCTACAGATTTTAGTGATTACTTTGAAAGGTTTGACTCCGCTTGGCCCAGTTATCTGTCTGAACTGCTGATCCTCATTTATCACTGTTAATCCTCCTGACTGCTCTTGTGTCCAGGTTAAAGGGTAAAGGTGACTGTCTGAGACGGTTTCAGTCTTTTCAAGTCACTGTTCTATCTTTCAACTGCATATTTCTTTCCTTGTAAATAAAGATGACTGTTAAAAGGACAATCTTCATGTTTTTTGCAATTTACTAGAATTTGCATAGTCTTTACATTTGCCAGACAGCCACTGGTTTATATTCATTTCACTAGAATATGAAACTCAATTTGCTCCGTGTGCAGCTGAGTAGAGCCACTGAAACTGCTGTTTTTATCATTAGTGAATAAAGGATTTATTTAGTTGCGATGTTACAATGATATTCAAGGTAAAAATACTGTTTTTGTCTATGGAGTCTGGTGGCGAGTGAAAGTGATATTGTGGCTGTTTCTGGTTCAACAAACGGTCTGTCTCTGTAGGGACTTTTAATGGACGCACTTTGACTGGCATAACTGTCCCCAAAGATTAGCCAACATTACATGGAAGCCATAGCAGCCTTTTGATACCTTTTTCTCATCTAACTCTGAATTAAAAGGTTTATTTCCACCAAACCAGAGTTGGTGATTGTTGGAAGACTAACAAAGACAGTTTTGGTGTGTTTTATTTTGTTTCTGTCCAGCTTAAGGCATGGTCAACAATTATTGGCTAGGTAAAATTACTTTTGTCAGGCTTTTGGTTAGGCTTTTGTCAATGGAGTCTGGTTGACCATAGCGTGTCCACTGTTTTAGCCTAAGATGCTGGTAAATTTTGGATATATAACCTTTAAAAAGATTGTTTGTTATTCTTTGAAACCTGCAGACATGTCATGGCACTTCCCCATAGCTTACTCATACTGAGCCACAAATGTAATAAGAGTGACTCGTACTGAAGTCATGTCAGTGAGACGTTTATACTGATGGCTGGAGGATGGGGGGGTTGTGTTTGGAGCCAACTTCTTAACTAGTAGCTAATTGTAAATCTTCAAAGGGTCAGTTCAGCTAAACCACAAAAAAACATTTTGCTACTAGTACTGATATAGTGTCAGTTTTATATGTAATATGTTTGAGAAATCTGTCACTGAGATTTAGTTGAAATGTCTTAGTTACTCCACAGACCTCACAGTGGAAAAACCAAAGAGACGCTGGTCACTTTGAGTCCCATTCTTTTTTTTTTTTTTTTATCATTTAGAGCATTTTGACCAAAGCTAAATTGGTTCGGAACCTGAAAAATTGGTTCCCAGCTGGAACCAAAACATAGCAGGTTTTCCTTTGGAACCAAAGTGGGCGTGTCACGTTCTACTGATTGTTGTGCATTGTTCAGTGCCCTCTGTTGCTGATGCACCTGATTACAATGGTTCCACTCAAAACTGGTGGACACGGGGGCTGGTAGATAGCACCGCTAAGAGCCAGAGCTAATTTAAACAGGGAACCGACTCCCTTCCCTTTCAAACACCTAGTTTTAAACAGTTTGGAGAATTTCAACCAAAAATAAATTGGCTTGGAAACTAAAAAATTGCTTCCCAGCTGGAACCAAAATATAGCAGGTTTTCCTGGGGAACGTTGTGCATTGTGCAGCGCCCTCTGTTAATGATAGAATGTTGGCTGGTTCACTAGATAGCAGCACAGGGCTGTGTCAATGCTGGGCAGCTCCCAGTGTGAACGTACACCAGGATGGAGCTGAGAAACATCAGGAAGGCAACTTTCCCAGGACACATAAGGGTGAAATAACAACAGTTTCATACCAGTTTCTCCAGTGGAAAACTACCAACAGACGTCAATAATCCACCCCTTTGTAGCAGACTGTGTCTACATCAACCAGCCCTGCTCTGTTTGTAGGAAACATTAGTGTCAGTGATTGAAATGGAAAAGAGTGACATGTAACACCTGTGGAGGAAAAGTCAGTGAGTTTCGTGGCTGCATGCAATAGAGGCTTTAGAGGGCCACAACAAGGAAGTTGTTTTAACTACCTGGATGATAAGATGGCAAAGTCCCCACCATCAATCAGCCGGATCTTGCAGAAAAGCACTCCATTGACGAAAGGCACTGCTGTGAGTTCCTCCAGTGTGAAGTGCACCTGAAACTTAAACTTCTTCTTTTTCATCAAAAAAGACATTGTCCCCAGCGGCTGCAGTGCACTCACTGTGTGATGAGCACCAATGAATGGAAATAGGAAAAATAAAAATACTGTATGTGGCTTTAAAGTGGGGGCTGGGAATCCTTCTGTGGTTCGGGGTTAGTCATTTCTGAAGAACTGTTTGGACCTGGAAATGAGAAAAAGAAAACACTTGTTGAAGTTACAGCCTACAAGATGAGCTCGGTTTCATTTGCAGCTGCGTGGAAAGGTTTTTGCAGCAGTGACAGCTGTGGTAATCATGTGCTGAGGTTTTCTACTACACACTGCAGCTGTACGACAAAACCTCCGACACACTGGCACACTTCTGGCTTATGAATTTGGTGTTTTCTAACACTTTCAGACACGATCTGCTATGTTCGCTCGTCTTTCTCTAACAGTAACAGACTCTCGCAGTGCACACAGCTGCCACGCAAACACCCAAACCACTCGGCGACTCACTATTCGTATCTTTCCTAAAAACTTCCAGCAAATCCTTCTTACCGTTCAGTCGGCCCGATGCTCCTCATACTTGGAAAACAGAACAGCTGTGTACCGCTGCAGAGAAACTGAGTCTGGGTTCTTGGTACTTTTCACAGCTTCAGTGCATCCTCACCAACTTTTCCCTCTACAGCAGAGAGCTCAACGACAGTCGGACCGGGCGGCTCCGTCAGTGAACATCTCACATCTCACTCAGTTAGGGACCGTCCACAAAGTCTGAGCGCAGCAGGGGCGGGTCGAGACAAAGATTTATAGGGTGGCCAGAGGGTGGCATGTTAAAGAAGCCCATTTCTGCCAATCTGATGAAAAAATAAAATAAAATCTGCAAGTCATTATAACGAGAAACCCTCTCACACTATTGACTTAGTATCTCAAAATAATAAGAAAGTTTCTCAATATTTGGACTTAAAATAATGACTTTGAGAAAGTTTGTCATTATAATGGCTTACAGAATCTTTTTTTTTATGTAAAATTGGGCTTCCACAGCATGTAGACTTTAAGGAGAACCAAAAATATATACTGATTCAATCACAATTAAATATATCAGTATTTGCTTGGAAAAGCCCCCAAATAAAGACATTTTAAATGGTACATTTATTGTGGCACATTAGTGAAGCATTGGATAGAAATATCTCAAATTTGGCATTTGAAATCAATACATTGTGTTACTTCCAAATCTTCAGACAGTTTTACAAATACATGTCTTTTTTCATTGAACATAAAGTCCAAGTGAAACAGAAATCAGATTGCTATTTGCTTCTGCATATTCAAGTATTTCCCAGGCAGCTAGCGCTGTGTGTTACGTCCCCCAGTGAGAGCTCCCAGTGAACAGCACGTCCACACCGGGGCTGAATGCAGCATTCGATGCGGACATAGGACACTTTGATGACAGGGAACAAAGACAGACAGAGGTGTTTTTAACGCCGGTTTTTGGCTCCCGTCACCCCGGGGCTAAGTTAGCTAACATAAGTGCCACAAGCTAACAAGCGAATGGAAACTCAGTAAGTCTCCTCGTTAGCGCTGTCATCAAACTGTCCTCCGTCTGTCCTCCGTCTGTCTCAGAGGTTGTGTTCACTGGGAGGCTGCTGAGCCCCGTTCGGTTGCATGCAAACAGCAGCTAGCAGTTAGTGGTTAGTGGAGGAAAAAAACAGACGATCTATCCTCCTTTAAATATGATCCAGTTTCACCAATAATCAGTGAGACCCCGCCCCCCAGAAACACTCAGCAATGGTAGCCAGCCAACTAATGAATCTTTGCTCTGTGTCACTAAAAGTTAAAGATTGATTGACAGGTGAATGTTGTCATATTATTGGTTGAATTTGGTTAGTTCATGCTTACGTAAGCACACATCACGTTTAAAGAAAGACAAAATGATTGGATTTTGATATAGAAATTCAAAGAAATTGAGTTTTTGTGAAGTTTTTGGCATCCGTTGTTGAATATGGGTACAATATAATTGAGGATGCAGTCTGCAGGATTAAAATTACATTTTTCATTTAACTTGGATTTAACACTTGTCATGTGGCCATAGCAGATCATTAAATTATATGTGTTATTTTCCGTTTTTCAAACTGGGGTGGCCAGGATGTTTTGAAGGGGGGCCACTGCAATATTTTCAGTGTTTGATTCTGAAGTATTCAGATCAGATTACTGTAATCCAGTACATTACATTACTAATGACATAAATTGTATCCAGTCACTGACTACATTTCAAAATTGGAATAATTTAACATATGGACATATGTTATACCAACATATATATAATATTCATATATAGTCCATATAGTGTCATGTCATCATTGAAAACTGTAACTTTTTCATATATTGACATATATGTAATAATATATCACATGACAATAATAAAAAAATATATATGTTTGCCATAAATGCAACATAAAGTAGGTCGAGTGTGTAACATTTAGGAGGATCTATTTTCAGAAATGGAATACAACGGGTGCCCGGTTAGCTCAGTTGATAGAGCTGGTGACCCATGTACCAAGGCTGAGTCCTTGCTGATAGAGCTGGTGACCCATGTACCAAGGCTGAGTCCTTGCTGCAGTGGCCCAGGGTTTGTGTCCGACCTGTGGCCCTTTGCTGCGTGTCATCCCCGCTCTCTCTGCCCCCATTTCCTGTCTACCTTCGACTGTCTCTATCAATTAAAGGCAATAAAGAGCCCAAAAAATATATACTTTAAAAAAAGAAATGGAATATAATATACATAGATATGTTTTCATTAATGTATAATCATTAGTGAAAATAAGAACTGTTGTGTTCTTGTTACCTTAGAATGAGACGTATTTATCTAGAGCCACAGGTTGCCTTCCATTCTTTCCTTTTGCAAGTTTCACAGCCACTGTAGTTTCTCCTAAAAGCTTCATTTCCAGGTCGTCAAATACAGATGTGAGCGTTGTTCAGCTAGTTGTAATCTGCAACTTCACTACTAGATGCCACAACTTTTGTTTTATCACTGAATCTTCATCACTGTAATACAATTACAAGGAAAATATTTGCTCATTATATTAAATATTAAATGATTTCAAGAGAAATCAAACACAAAATTACAAAAGAGTTGGTGTTTTATTTTTAGTTATCTTATGGGAATGTAAGAAAATCAAGCAAGGCATTTAGCAATTAGCAACATATTAGCAAAAACAGTCAAACTATTGACTATGATATATTAAAGATACAGTAATCTGGGAAGAATATTTATTTTTTGCAAGCCTCGACCCTGGAAGCCATCATATATATAAGTTTTAATGCAATTGTAGTTAATATCAAATAGCTGTGACCGATCTTTGGGTAAACTGAACTGAACACACACACACAGTGTAAGCGCTGTGGTTATCGAGGAAAAAACTCACAACACAAAGCTTATTGACATTTGTCCCTATGGAGTGCCTTATTCTTCTTAACTATTTGGTTGTAGAGGATTATTGTTGCCTCTTTGTGCCCAGGATCAGAATATAAATAGTGGACTTTGGGGCTGTATGATTCCTTTTTTCAGCCATGTGGGGGCAGAAGAACGTGACAGCAAGCTGCAAAGACAACATCTAACACACCATCACCTAATAAAGTTATGGTAAATATGTCAGCAAACAGTTGCCTATTTACACAGCCAAAACAATGTTACAATGTTCATGTAGGACCTCATCACCCTCTTTTTGGGGAAAGGCTCATTTTCAGGGCCTTTAATCTCTTTTTATGTCTTAAGAAAAGCTGTTTAAATTGCCATGTTGTTGAAAGGCACTACAAATGAACTTACCTTTACCTTCCCTCACCTTTATTCGCTGTGTGGACCTACTGTAAAGTCCACATGTACCTGCAGAGCAGTCTGATCGAGGAGATGTTAGGTTGTAGGTGAGAAACTTTATGAATCAACCTACCATAGTAACACATTAAAGCTGCCCAATAACACTGTCTCTGACCCAACCATGTCCTGCACAGTGAGTACAAATTGTTACCATTAAACCAGAGAAAAAGGGTTCCACAATAGACATTTTTCACTGCAGCCATTAGGACATGAAATAGTAGTCAAATTAAATATGGAGTTCAATTCCAGATCAAATGCATGTCAAATGTTATTGTAATGTTATGTTAAATATCTGTATCTTTGTTTCTCATCTTTTTGTATTTTCTGTTATGTTGCAAATGGAGCTGCTGTTGATCTGAGAAGAATTATCATCATCATTTAAAAACTTGAGTTGAAGTGCAACTAGCCAATCAATTTACAGATTTGTTTTCATCAGTTTCAAACATCCTATACAGTGATTTTCTTTTTTCAGGTAATCTAATAATCAGAGTAGAAACGTCCTTGGGCAAAGTACTGAACCCCAAATTGCTCGCAATTGCTTTGCCATCTGTGTGCATGGGTGATGTATGTATTGCTCCTGATGGCACCTTGCACTGCAGTGTGTGAATGTTTGTGTGTCAATGGGTGCATGTGACAAGCGTCGTAAAACGCTTTGAGTGGTGGCTAGACCAAAAAAGTGCTGTATAAATACAAGTCTATTTACCATTTATCATTTTTATCTAAATCTAAGTCACCTACCTAAAAGTTATATATACAAAATTCACTTGCCACTGGATGTATGGATGGAAAACAGATGGTTGCTACGGCACACCCGACTCCATTAACAAAATCAGTAATTTTAGCCTGCAGATCATCATAAAACAAACTTCAAACTGGAAAGAAACAAAATAAAACTCACCAAAAACGTGTTTGTTAGTCTTTTCAACAATCACCAACAGGGGTTTGGTCAAATCCTTAAATTAGAGTTATATGTGAAAAGAAATATCTGTGAAAAGGGCTGCAGCGGCCACAACATAAACTAACATTAGTCCTTTGCGACAAAGTCAAAGTACGTCGACCAAAAGTTGTTGTTTTTGCCAATGACCAGCTCAGATTGTTATTCTCAGTGTCTGACAGCATTATGGGAAGAATCCCTAAAGAATTTTTTTTTTAACCAGAAACCATAATATCACTATCACTCTCCACCAGACCCCATAGACAAAAATTATAATTTTACTTTGCAGATCATCATAACATCATAACTTCATTCAAAGTGGACAGACACAAAATAAAACTCACCAAAATTGTCTTTGTTAGTCTTTCCTCTGTTCACCAACAACAATCACCAACTCTGGTTTGGTTGAAATAAATCCTTAATTCACTGATGTAGATGATAAAAACAGCAGTTTCAGTGGCTCTACTCAGCTGCACACTGAGCAGACCGGCGATGGAAACAAACATCAGAGAGGCCGTGATAGGAACACAGGCAGAGGGAGAGTGACACCATGACTTTTTTGCTGCTATATTCATGTTATAAATCCAATTTATATAACTTAATACTTACTTAAAACTAAATAAATGGCTGTGGTATTCCACATTAAATACATTTCATCTCAATATTTACTTCAAACTACACTGCTGCTCCACCTTTGATTTGATTGCTTACACACACTGACCTCTTCTGGTTGATTAACAGTGGTGCACCCTGTGAACAAAACACAGGCTGCTAATTTTTCTTAAGTTTTATTCAGTTCTGAAGACATGGTGCGGATGAACTGACGACCCCAGCTGACTCTGCTCTTAAAAAACAAGACTACTTATTGTTCATTCAGAATAGACTTGAAAAAACCAAAGAATCAAATGTTCATCATTTAACATCAGGGCGATGACCATCTGCATCTCTGCAATAAAAACACAATTTCAATATTAAATCCAATGTATTAAATAGCACAAACTCCCTAATTGAAGTGTCAGATGGTAAAAATAATCTTCTCAACGTAAGTTTTTCTTTTTTCTTCTGACCAAACCATAAAACATAAGTAAAATTCTGTACATGCTCTCTCTAAGGCAACTTCTGACAAGCTTTTCATTGTTCTCTGAAGTCTCAGTGCATTGCCAGACACACACACACACACACACACACACACACACACACACACACACACACACACGTATCTATTGTGTCTCCTCGGCTTGCTGTGGAGGAGGTGGAGGAGTTTTGGGCCTGCTCTGCTCCTCTGTTCCTGCCCCTTCAGCTGTCCCTCCTGCTGCTGAGCTGCTAGTATTCGCCACCTCAGTCCCACTCTGCAGGAATTTGCGCAGGTCTTTGAGAGCGGGCCTGAGCATCTGCACTAACGCTAGCAGGGCAGCCTGGGTACCCTCCAGGGCCTGGGCCTGTCGTTCCTGGGCGAATGCCTGGGCCTCCTGGGAGCGCCGCATCATCTGCAGCAGCTCGTTCTGGCCCTCCAGGTGCTGGGCGATCTGTCGGATGTGGACGTTGGTGACTCTCTGCTCCTGCAGCAGGCGGGCCGAGTTGAGGGCGATGCGGCTCTTCAGCTCCTGAGGTTTGGCCTGACCCTGTGGCGGAGGCGGGGAAGCTGAGGATGAGGCCAGCATCTCAACCGGTGCCTCGACGGTGGCCACCACGGTGGGAGTGGAGTCGCTCACAGTGGTGGTGCAGTACTCCACCACGCCGCCATCCTCCAGAGTGTGGTACGTTGTTTCAGCTGGAAACAGGACAGGGAAACTGTTACTGTGGCCGAATAGTCTGCAAGTCTCCAGTCAGACCCAAAACTGAAAATATATTTGGGAGCAGGCATACGTCACACAGTCAGTATGTTTCCGTCTGTGGCAAACCCTTCATCATAGGTTAGTCATCAGAAAAATAAAGAGTCTTAAGAACAGAAACAGTGACAGAAATATGAGATTGTGTCAGTTAGTGGTGCATGTCAGTTCTGTCCACTTTGATGGAGACAGACTAAAGGGCACTCATCAACACCTATTCCTTTATTTATTTTTATATATAACGACATTGTTTGTTAATCAGCAACATCATAACATAATTGTTTGCCTGGCTATAGTATTTGGGCTCCAAAAGGGTATTCTTACCTACTGCTATGATTAGCAAAGACTTCGGAATTTACATTTACTGTCCTCAAATATCTTGTTTTGTCCACAACCCAAAGACATTCAGTTTACTGTCATAGAGGACAAAAGAAATGTAGTAGTTGACAAATGATCAATGAATTGACTAATTGTTGCAGCTCTACTACCAACTGGTTCTTAAAATGTAAGACAAGAATGAATTGTTGTCATTGGATAGATCCAGAAAACTTGATGATGATCAAGAAGTGGGTAGCTGCCGGCTGCTAAACAGATGCTGAAGGATTCAAATGTTCCCTGTAAACCACCGCTAAAGGACCAAACTGCCTGCGGACTAATCTTTTATTATCATTATTATTATATTTAAATTAGCAGAATTTGGTGTGGACAACTGCATTCCAAACCTCTTTTCAGCATCCTGTAATAAATATATCTTTTCACATAGTCAAATACTTTTAGTCAAGAATGAACAGACACAGTAGAGACTGGTGGAGCTACATTAAAGAGGACTTCAGAACTCACTCTGGTTACTTTCTGTACTTTTTTGAACATGAAACATCTTGTGTTGAGTTTTTATTTAATGATCAGAATACAATCGGCAATAGGAGAGCTTCTGTATGTGAATTCAGGCTTCTATTTACTTCACTATCAGAAAAGGCAAAAATATTCCAGTGAGAGATGAAAATGCAGGATTGTGGTGTTGCTGCCATCAATATTTGTCCAACTGTACTGAAACTGAACTTTCACATCATTCTCTTGGTAATTGCAGTTATTTGTTGCCTGTATATTTGTACAGTACTGAGTCAACTGTTGAACTATTAGTGGTATCAAGAATGACATATGTCAGTTCTTATCTATCTTTATGAGCCTCTGATCAGCATCTGCTGTCACAGTATGCTGATCAGAAATCACAGGTAATGATCATCTGTCCGTTCAACTAAGAAACACACTGACTGCTCTGCAAGTGTCAGCTATACAGTATCACGTAATTAGAAAAAGACTTACCATTCAGTGGCTTTGCTTCATCACAGACTGTGGCTGAGCCAGCTGGAAGAGCTGAAAGAGAATACAGACAGAATTATATGAGGCCAAAAACAACCAACAATCAAAGAAAAAGAAGACAATCTAAAACACTAAAATACAATTCAATTATGAGGCGAAAACCTGCAAAAATTCTAGTATTTTTCTCCCACAAGAGCCCAGTGATTCGTTCGATCTGGAAATCAGGGTCATGTTCCAGCATGGTTTCTGGGTCATGAAGGAAAGGAGGACAAGACTGATGTTTAGAACTCTAACGCATCCACGGTGAGCTCAGTGGCTGAGAGATGGTACACAAATCTACAGCGAGTCAAGTCATTATCACCGGCCAGGAAATAACTGGGAAGCAGTGAGGTGGTGAATGAGAGAAGAAGAAGAGAGTGGGCACAACTGGGGCAGCAGTTTGTTCAAAGACTCCCTTCAGACATCTTTTAAGACACGTACAACAATATGGAAAAATAATGTGTGTCTGATATGTTACTTGCTATAACTTCCAGTGACACTTGGGAGGAAAGCAGTCGGCGAACGTGACGTGAATACAACTTCAATACATTACCCAGTCTGTGAATAATATCTGCCGGAGTCACGTCAGATCAGCAGTGGTGGTTGTTTAACAATTAAGAAAACTAAACCCTAACTCCCATGATCCCACGCTACTTCAAGGCGACATCAAACTTTTGTTATTGTTTTGATTACAAAAGTGGCAGAAATTATATATTTATTAAATTATATATATATATTTATTATCATTTTCTGTCTAAAGCTTTTTGATTTACACAGAAGCTAGGATGGGTGGCAAGTCGGCAGCAGCTTCACTGATTTAACGTGTCAGTTCAGAGGTAAAAACAGTTCCACTCGCTCCATGAAAAGTATTAGTGTACACTGCTTAAGGTGGCAATAGATAAAGAAACATGCTGTTGCCTTCCAATAGATATAGGATGATGCAACATAATCTTTTATATAATGTCATATCTCCATATATTCATAGTAGGTTACATTGCTTTTGGCAGTGAAAAAAAATTTACTTACTTTTGAAGGCAATAAGTAAAGACATAAGTATGGTGACAGGGCAACAACTGCTCCCCAGCCTCTTATTATACATACAAGGAAGTATACCAGACTCTTTAAAAGGTAAACAAACAAACAAAAGTTACATTTATCTTAATGTTGGCTAGGAAGGCTATAATGATGGAGTGGGTTGGGGATGATTCTACTTCTGCTCAATTGTATAAATCTCTGATATCTGATGTCACTAAAGAGAGGCTGAGATGCTGTATTGGTGGGGGAACTCATCTTTTTTGTAAGAAAATGGGAGAAAACAATGAATCTTCACATTAAGTGCAGTTTGGCATGAAGATGACAGACTGAGCCGAGGGATTATTTTGTTCATTGTTCAACACTTCTGTGCTCTGGTGACTAGATGGTACGGAGTTGTTTTTATTGGGTCGTCTTCTTCTTCTTCAAAGTCTAAATCAATGTTTAAAAGAAAAGAGTTGTATAGTTCTGGAGGAGCTGTTTCACACCTGAGAAAATAACCCAGATGATGTCATCAGGTAGGGGAGCCCCTGACGGTTCGCAGTCCCACATACAGTACCTAGGTTCACTTTTTCATCTTTACTTTATTGATTATTGTGTAGTTTTACCTCTACAGGCTTCAAAACAATATTCAAATAAAATAACCAGAGATGAAAGAATTACTATTTAGTTATTTACATATGCAACCTGAGATGAGGATCGAAGCAGCTTTGTGTTGGGGAGTCCTGAGCCAAAAAGGTTGGGAACCATACTGGTTTAAAGAACACCTGCAGTCCTTAAGGTGGATTTAGTTCTATTAAACATCTGCAACAGAGGTGAACTCTTCATTTGAACTCTAATATCACATTTGCTCTTCAATCAATCAATCAATCAATCAATCCTTCTTTATCAAGCCTGCTTCCGCTGGTTGAATTAAACAACAGAAATGCATCTGATGCTGCACCACAATCCAGGTTGCATGTTTGCTTTTTTTTCTTATCATTTTTGCAGGGCTGCACTATTTGGTAAAAACATCATATTGCGATCACTTTGACAGATATTGTAACAAATTAATGATCAGTGGGTATGATCATTTTTAATCATTTTCATTTTCACTAAAAAAACTATTAAAATCATGCTGACATGACATTTGTTGGGGTCTGTACTAAACAAACATATTTTCTTACATCTGGAAAACAACATTTGTAGGACAGGGCATCTCAGCAGCACTACAGTACTTCATTATAATACTTCATTATAATGCTGTTTGTCACACTTTTATCAAAAACATTGCAGCTTCTATAATTTGCATATGGCACAAGGCAATATTGTGATTTGGATAATATTTCAATACCTGTGCAGCTGTAAGTAATGCAGCATCTCTCCACTGCTGGAGATCTACTTCCTGTTACACTGACTGTTGAACAGCAGAGTGTCTCAGCCTCAGTCACATCTTTCACTTAACACAGTAACTTTTCTTGCTCCGTACAGCAGCATACACCACATCTGGCACTGAGTGCACCCTGAGCATGCTTACAGTGAAAACTTTTACCAACTCACTCTCTGCCAGTGTGACAGTCGCGGTGGTGTTCACTGTGACCGGTAAAGTTATCTCAGCATCCGAGTCTCCTGCAGGTAAGCTGATGATGGTGGCCTCCCCCAGGAGGTTACAGATCCTCTGCTGCATAGCAGTGAGGATGACGGGAACTGGAGTGCAGTCGGCGGAGGTCCCCTCTATAGCTGCCCGCGCCTGGGCCACCTTCCGCCGGACCTCCGTCTTCATGTCGGACCACTTCTTTTTCACCTCGGGCAACTCTCTGGGACAGGTGGTGACAGCGTTCACCTTTTTCAGGATATCCACCCACGCGTTATTCTTTGCCATGTGGGTGACTCCAGCATTGAAGTGGTTAACCAGTGTGTGCTTTTGTTTCTCTATTTCTTCCACAATAATTTCCACCTCTCTCTCCGAGAAATTCATTTTTCTCTTTTTCGCGACCGATGCCATAGTTGCAGAAATTGCTCTTTTGGAGAGGTAATTGTGCGTATTGTACGCAAAAATAGTAGGATTTACTCAATTGATGTGCGCAACGTAATGGCTTCCAGAATCGGCTTCTTCTTCCTACTAACAACGCTTACGTTAGCTGGGCGGGAGGCCCCGCCCGCTGATACCCGATTGGCTAGTAATCTCCCGGTCATGTTAAATTCTCTGTTACTATTGGCTCAATCAAACGCCAGTCACTCAGCGGGCCAAACAAACTATGTTTTTCAAAAAAATACTCACCGTTATCTCACCTTATCTTACAGTCGAAGTTGGTGAATATGAGCCTGATATGAATATTTCCTATTTTTTATTTCAATAACTAGAAAATGAAAAGTACAAAATAATAAACTCACACAATTTTAAATATATTTATTTTTAGAAATACACTCTCCATGTGCCATAAAATAATGTAATGTATAATGTCAAATGTGTGTGTGTACATTTCAGTTTTTTGATTAAAAAAAGAAACCTACCAGTATTAGTTGAGAAAAAACTTGACTGATGACTCTGAAAACATCCTTCTACTGTCACACTCTGCTCATACAGCATTCAAACAGCACACTGGAGGGACAGGGAGAAACACTGATTTCTGACTGGAGAGGGGCTTTAAGTGCTCAGAGTTCATCTTCCAAATGATTTCAGTGAGCTCCAGAGGTCTCTTCAGTCAGTTTGCTGTGAGCAGCAGATGGCAGCGGATACACACATTTTGGAAATGTATGTTAAGTTGATAAAAAGACAGCAGGTCTGTACAACACTCACACTATATGAAAAAGGAGGCTATCTTATACACTCTTTCTTCTTATATGTTTCAGTATTTTGAAGAATTCATAAGGGCTGGTGCAATGAATGATGGGTAGTTTTTCAGAGTTGAAGCTGTGAGGACTGATGCAGCCCTTGGTGCTTTAGGTGGGGCATTATGGGTAGACAGAATTGTATCGTTATTATACAGCGCTGAGGAGTCACTGCAGTCAGCACATAGCTTTATAATACAAAGCTCCTCAAGCTCTTTTCACTAAGAATATCTGGACTCCACTCAACGTGGAGGACCGTTCTGAGGGACCATTATGACAGATGTGTCCAGAGGTGGGTCCAGGGGTGGCACTGGCAGCACCCCATTATCCTTACCTCTTCCACACCACACTGTCTTTCGGAGGCTGTAGCGGGCTCAAAAGTTCGAGTGAAGGTACTGATAGCTTATGAAACTAGAAGACCTAAGGCATCTATTGGTTTATCACGCTAGTTTGTCAGGAAGAGGGCTAAATAACGTTTTAAAGTTAGACTAAATTTTGGTGATGGAAAACCTGGCCTGGCCATTTTGAAAGGGATCCCTTGACCTCTGACCTCAAGATATCTGTATGAAAACAGGTTCTATGCAAACCCACAAGTCACCCCTTTGCAGACATGCCCATGTGGTGTGTATTTATATATTTCTGCATACTGTGGTCCATAAACAGCATTGGAATTGTATAAATTGGGATTAACTGGAAAGATGAGACCCTTTTGGATTTAATGAGTGATGATGTCAGTCACCATATAGCCATTGCATTGCAGTGAGACAATTTTTTTTATAAAATGACCCATTGTAACCTCTAAATAATCACTCATGACACCGTACAACCAGAAACTAGAGACCGAGGGCATTCAGAAGATGGGTGGCTTTCCTAGCTATATTGTCAGTAAGGTACAATTTTGAAGACCTATAACAATATGGAAGCCTTACGTTATATTTGTACGGTGCCATTCTGTTGTTTTGTGATAACGTAGTATTTAAAGTCAATATGAGTAATGGTAAATTAATGCTATTTTAATGTGTTTGTCTCATTCAGACAATAGAAGCTTCTCTGACGAAGCAGTTTGCAAATCGGCCTGAATGACAACAAATGCAGCTGTAAGGATTCAAAATAACACACGTTAATTCAGCCACAAGGGTCCTGTACTTTTTACTGATAGACGTTATGTTGTCCAGCTTGAATTCCTTTGCATACACTGACCACCATAGAAAGTGTTTTTATTTTTATAATTATATATTGTTTAAATTCCTCATATCTGAAAACTATCTGAAGCGCTTGCATGTTGCGCCATTGTGTGAGTGGGTTCGTTTCATTCAATTATCTAAGATTTTCATTAAGTATTCTCAGACTTTTATTCCATATCCTCAAATTCGTATTCTATATTCTCAGTTTTTATAGTATTATCGCCCCAAAATGTCAACCTGTAAAGTAGACACCTGGCTGCACGTCGGTTGTCACTCAAGCAGATGCGGCCACGCTGTAATCTCGCGTTGTAGAGCGAGACTTCAGGCACACCCGGCTCCCGGTATCCTCTCAACGGTCGGCAAGTTAACGGCACTTAAATATCGGAATAAATATCGTACCCACAACAGTCTGCAGAACAGGAACTTTGTTTTTCGTCACATGTGATAAAGGAGCTCCGTGTAAAGTCTTAACGTGTGACGGTATGTTAGAAGCCGGACAGAGCGCTGACAGCCGGACAGTTTCACCAGCATCTATCTAAAACACCGGCTAGCTGAGCTAATTTATCGAGTTAAACTATTCAGAGGAACCTGTTTCGTTTTAAGTGAACTCCACGGGCGTGTTCGTGGTGAAAAGTGCGGTTTGTGAGTGAACCGGCAGCCGGTAGATTTTCCTTTCAGTACCGGCTGAAACCGAGGGACATGTGACGTGGTAGTAAGGGCTCGAGACACAGCGGTAGCCTCAAGAGCTCCTTAGCTCTCACAGTCAGCCGGCAACTAGCACACTGTCAGCCGGCAGCTAGCACTCTGTCAGCCGGCAACTAGCACTCTGTCAGCCGGCTCATTCATGCACCGGCAGGGCGCGTTGATGCCCTCCTTGCTCAGCGATGTATTCTGCCAGTGCCGGTCCGCCGAGTCCCACCCAGGGGTCGACCGGGGCGGCGGGCACGCCGAAGACCCCTCCTCAGCTGCCACATCTAAACCAGTCAGCGGAGAGCCGGTGGCCGGTGAATGGCATTCGAATCCCGGCCAGTCAGAGCATCCCTGTGACATATGCGGAGGGCCCGAGCAGGAGCACAGGCTGAAAGTGCTCTTCCAAGTCCTGGATGTGAACGGGGATGGAGGCATTTGTGTCAACGACCTGACGATTGGGCTGAAGAAACTGGGGGTACATCGCACTGAACACGAGCTCATGGTAAGTGGACATGTCAGGTGTATGAGGTTAGGGACCGACTGATCCACAGAAACTCCACATGTTCTAGTTTGACGTGTTTCTGCAGTAGGCCAGAATGGAAAAACCATATACTGGCTCTAGATAGTTAGTGTTTTTTCATGAACTGAACATAGGAATATTATATAATAATAATAATATATATATTTTATTTAATATATTTTGTTACCTTAGAATGAGACTTGACATTAGTTTTTATATACAGATGCCGCGGGCCACTTTCCATGGGGTCTGCCATGTTGAACCCATGGCTGTATAAAGATAACTGGTTACAGCATTGGAGACGGCACTCTGTTTATTCCTATGAAAGCTGCTCAGTGGCGCATAAAACAAAACAAAAGAGACACTTCCCACTGCAAAGAAATTACCTGGATGAATACATACGCACTAGAGACTTCCATTTGAATGGTGATAAATAATTTAATCTTGCAAATCTTCTAGACTTTAAAAATGTGATCGGACTGAATGGCTCAAATTCTAATAGTGAAACAAGTCATTTTGCAGAGGTTGGGAATAATGCATCCACTGATTTACAGCCGCTTCTTTCACAATGTAACCTTATGGGAAAAAGTCTTTTTGGGCCAGCGTGCAGACACCATTGCTGTAATTATATGATTTGGCTACTATGTCAAATTTGCTTCAAATCCTGGCGCTCTTCCTGGGGTCATGTTTCTACAGTTGCCCAGAAGGGATAAACCAAACACTGGCACTAAATAAGCCCGTTTGAGTTTTTTCATGGCCACCATTGTTGAACCATCTCCTTGAACCCCCCCCCAAAAGCAAGGGAGTTGCTTTGTGTTTGAGGTACTTTACTTGAGTATTTCTATTTCAGTGGTTGTGATAGTGCAACCTTCAGTGTTGATAGGCTATTACCCGAGACCTGTAACCAATCAGAGAGTGCTGTGGGCAGGACATTGAGCAAGACTACACAGTGGTGATTACAGACGGAGAGGCACACACATCAGAGCCAAATTAGCCCATTTTTAAAGGTCCAGTGTGTAGGATTTAGTAGCATCTAGTGGTGTAGATGCAGTTTGCCACTTACTCGCCTCACCTTCCCTTTCCAAGGGAGTAACTACGGTGGGCGCGAAACATGCAAAAAAACGCAAACAACCCTACCTAGAGTCAGTGTTTGGTTTGTCCATTATGGGCTACTGTAGAAACATGGTGGTTCAACATCCCTGCAGAGTCGGTAAGTCAGAGTGTAGATTAAAAAAGGCTCATTCTAAGGTAACAATTCCTATATTATATATATATATATATATATATATATATATATATATATATATATATAGAGTTGTTTTTTAGATAATACCTTTTTCAAGGTGATTCCTGCTAAAAGGCAGTGGATGATGTATATTTGATTTTATACACATCATGCAGCAGTTGTAGCTACTTTGCCAGAAATAGTAACTGAGTAAGGGAGTACCACCTGAGCTCATTCGACAGCCTGGACTGGAAGCAGATCAGAGTCGTGGTAAATCCTGCTTCTCTGGAAATTTCTCTTTGTTTGTTGAGGACAGTCACATAATCCTGCATAATGGTACTTTCTATGTACTGTTTGACATCGTGGCAAATGTCCAAGACCATGGAGGTCCCATGAATAACCCCTAAAAACATTCACTGCTTCAGGTTTCTCTATCTACACAACCTGAAACAGCCAGGCCTTTGCAGTTCTGTTAAACGGTAAATTATTACCTTCAGCCATTTGATAAAAAGCCCACAGACAAAGTCAAAAGAGTTCAGTTACTGTGGCTAAACAATAGTATGGGTAAGATGCATTATCTCAGCGGCTGAACGTGGTGTTGGTGCCAGACATAGTGTCAGCATATGAGAAATGCTATTGCTCTCCTGGTATTCACACTTAATGTGTATTTAACAGTGAGTGATGTAGGAGTAAAATGGACAGACAGGTTCAGGCTAACAGGCCTTGCCAAGCCCCAGGTAGAGAGATAACCGCTTTGTACAAGAACGGCAACAGTAGGATGGAATGTGTTTGCTGCTGTGTTATCTCCAGGGCTATTTGATAAACAGATTCTAAGTCTGTATGACATTAACTGTAACCCAAGAAGGAACTGAGGACATGTTTTCTTTCTATATGCTGTAGTTGATGTTTTTTTTATATAATTTGTGAACACTATAGATCAGTGTTCCCCAGCCTTCCTTTAGGGAACCTTTTCTATCATTGAGCAAACTGACTGACATATTTTATGGATATTTCATATTATATTCAATAATAACAATAACAGCAGAGAACCACTGAACTGTACAGTGAACCCAAACAGTGAACACAATAACTGCAGGAAGTTTGTGTAAAACCAGAGATTTGGATGAATTTTGAGCAGTTATAGTTAATATTGATCAGAGATGAGTTTTCCTGATATTTTGGAAACTTTTTATACAATTCTCTATCTGTGTTAGTTACTGACTCGAGTGATGCAAGTTACTGAAACAAAGTTATTAGACTATATTTATTACGTAGAATGAAAAAAAAACTTTAAGGCAGGGACATGTAGAATTCAGGACAGTTGCCAGACAGTGAGGAAAAAAATGTATTTGGAGCCCTGAGCATTAGTGTTTTACCAGAGCTTATCGGGGCATCAGTTGCCTACCATTTGTTTTGAATGTGTGTGCTGTGTGTGTGGTGCTCAGCCACTGTGGAGCATTAAATATTTAATATCCTTACATATAACGCACTCCCTTCCAATATATCCAGTGTAACAGCAGTCTAATAAACTGTGACACTTCCTCTTCCTGTCGTACAATGTACAACGTGTATGAGGGGTGAGTTCAAAATGAGATAAGTGGCCTTTCTACATGAAGAAGAATTTACAGACCTCCCTACTCGCTGATAAGATAGTGCTGACTCGCTGCCATTAGTCAGTAATCCACAGACGGCAGCTTGTCTACCTTTCCTCAAATGACACAGCCGCCCAGCAATGGAAATGGACAACAAAGAAAAGCATTTAGAGAAAAGCCATTACTGTAGACACTGGATTGAACAGTGAATTCTTTTTTAATACAAATACAAGGTCACCTAGAAACGTGTGCACCTACTTCTGGCAAGGCTCCATCAGCCATTAAATCTCATATTTTTATGATAACAATTGAGACAAATTCTCACCTAGTCTTTTAATACATACCTTCAGTATCCTTCTAGATAAAAAACAACACAGACACAACAGTCAAAAACAAAACCTTGTTAGTTTAATATCTTTATATTTCAGTAATAAGGCTTATAATAGCAGTAAAACTGGTCTTGTAATTCAGGTTTTTTGTCCTTAGCTGAGTTGTGACAAACATTAGATATATTGGATTAGTTTTGGAAGCATGTTTACGGTATCATGGATACCTGCAGTACACATTTTGAGTCAGTTCACCAACATTTCTACTTCCAGATAATTAAGACTAGATAATGTAGGAAAAAACTGGGAAACTGATCACAACCTGTCTGCTCACCTGAGTACTTGGTTTGCTTAAAATACTGGACTGTTGCTGCAACTCCAGATCACAGCAATCAAATTGGTGATTAGAATATTAACATAACCATGAGTGACAACTCTTTAAAACTAGAGTTTACTTTGCATGATTCTTTCTTCTTCTTGACAACAAATCCCATGAAAACAACAAAATCAATAAAAACAACACACCAATGAGCCTCACCGTTGCACTGGGTAACATGTCCCTCTAGAGTCATTCACTCTTTGCATATGATTTGTTCTTGCTTAACATCAGTTGGCCTGCCAATTGCCATCTTGCCCGTCTGCTCTTTGTTGTATATTACTCCTCTTTTCTAATGTCTGTAGTACAACATCTGAACATCTCGATCACTCCAGGTCGCTGGCTGTTAATTTAGAAAAGGCTTGATTTGATATGCAGGGGAGTTTCCTATGTATTGTAAGAAATGGAATATAATATTTATAGGTATGTTTTCATTAGTGTATAATCACCTGAAAATAAGAATTATTGTGTTTTTGTTTTCTTAGAATGAGCTGTTTTTATCTACAGAGGGAGTGGGTCCTCTTTTACGGAGGCTGGCATTTTGAACCACCATGTTTCTACAATAGCCCAGACAAACCAAACACTGGCTGTAGGTAGGACCATTGCGTTTTTTGAGTGGGCATAAGGTATTCAGTTGGTTGCAATCAACTGTTGGTTGCAACTTCACTACTAGATACTACTAGATGCCACTAAATCCTACACACTGGTTTTTTTAAGGTCATTATCATAGTCAATTATGTTCATTTAATTGTTCGTGATTTCAGACATTATAGGAGTTGTTTTCTATTCAGTGGAAACCAGTAGGTGAGTCTGAGAGCTACAGACAGGGTAGGTAAGTAAGAGTCTTTAGAGATGGACAAACACATGGTTTTGGTCTTTTCATTAAATGTATTATTAATAATGAGAACAAAATGGAATAATTCCAGTCTTATTCTTTAATAAGTCTAAATCCCTCATGCCGGTGTGGAGAGACTAGGACAGTATTTGTGAGTTTTTGATTTTATGGTGGGCAAGCCGTAATTGTTTGTCTTGTTTCTGTCAATAATCAGTTACACTGAGATCAATACTATGCAAGCAGTGCAGTCAGTAAGAGAGGACTGCAGAAAGCAGGTGGAAGCAATGAGAATCTTATGAAGAGATGGACTGACTTTGCTGCGTCACACTGTAGTTTCCCCAGCAGGAGGAACCCAGTACGTGTTGAGGATTAAAATGCGTCGGAGCTCGGCTGTTGGGTGGATGCTGACAGTCTGCCCGGAATGACTCAGAGGCAGTGCATGAGGAAAGAGGCATCACTCAGCAGATTTTCTGCTGTGAGGGAACCCCCCCCCCCGCTGACAATTCAAGACATAAATTAATGTCCATGCAGCTATCCTACCCTCCATTGGCTGAGGGGCTCGTTCCATGGCTTGACAGTTGGACCTTGCTGTATAGGCTGCAGTGATTGGTTGGGCTCGGCTGCAGTG